GTGATTCAATGCCGTTAATAAAAATTGTTGTTTCGTTTGAGGATCCTACCAATTCAATATTCTGTTGCCTTTTGGGACATTGTTGTTCCGAGCCTAATGTCCGTCCCTTGACATAGACCTGTTGTCGTTTAAAGAACGTAAATGATCGGTCCTAACTGCGCATCCATACGCAAAGTGTCCTTCTTGTCCACATTTATAGCAAATAATGGGGTCGGTGTTTCTACGTCGTGTTTGTTGTTGGGTTTCTGCCGCTTGTAATGGTGTGTTTTGTGTATTGTCCCAGTACGGTCTGTAGTTTCTATTTCCTTGTCCACGTCCACGGTGTCCCCGACCTCGGTACTGTGTATTCCAGTTGTTATGTGTACTTTGCTGATATTGGCCTTCGGTACGAGTTTCATCTTGTCGTTGTGATTGTTCTTGGGTGTGTCTCTTCAACTCACCAATATCTTTATTCATTTGTTGCATCATAGACTTTAGCTCTGTATATTCGCCTTCAGATTGTGCCATCTTAATGTGTGCGGTCTTTTTATTGTTCGGTAGCTGGTCTTGCTCTATTTCCCTCATCACTACTCTAAGCTGATCAAAATCGGTTATATTATCAAACTTATATCCACTTATGTCTTTAAGTTCCTTGCGAAGCCCGTACCAGAAACGGGTGCGAAGTTTTTCTTCTGATTCTTGCGGTGTTATTCCTTTCTTATGTACTACCTTACTCAACATATCTTCGAGTCTACATCCCCAAGCGGAAACATCTTCGCCCTCCTCTTGACGTGCACTGTGAAATTTAGCCAAAAGTTGTTCTCCGTGATCTACTGTGCCAAATATACTTTCCATCTTTTCCATGATATCTTTTACAGATGCTTTGGATCCTAGGCGCATCGCAACTTTTCCTGCCTCGCCTTTAAACGATCTTCGCATGCTTTGTAGTATAACATCTTCGTCGTATTTTTCCTGTTGCAAACATTCTATTTCATACTTCCATAGGTCGTAAGATTCATCTTTGTCACTGCCTGAGAACGGAACTATTCGTGGAATGTATCGGCTCTGGTACCCTTTTGATTGGGTTTCAATTGATGCTGCTGCTTTAGGTGGGAATGGTTCGGTCTTAATTGGTTGTTTGAGAGTTCCTTGGAACCAATGCTTGAAATCGGAAGCGCTGTCCGCTTTTGGTTTGACTCCCATCTCCTTAAAAGCTGCAGCGATGTGTTCTAGTTCTTCGACGGATAATTCTATATCAGATTCCTTGCCTTCCGTGGCCATGATACAAATAAGCTGGAAAAAAAACTAACTAGGCCAAATAATTGGCTAATATACTATATACTAATCAGCGATTAGTTAATCAAATAAAGATTAATCGATAATTAAAATCGATAGAACTCTATATGCAGTCCGTTAATTCATTGCAAGTTGCAAGCGCATCTTTGCATAAAAAAAAACGGTCCGCTGTATAAAATTCGAATCGCAAAAATCGGCAAAATCTCGATGTACGGTTCACGGATATAAAGTCAAATCTATATAGTACAAATATAAACTACATGTAAATAAATCTTTTACCTGATATATCAATAGTATAGCTATCTACTATCTATATAAAGGAGCAATATGTATCTAATATAATGTATGCACCTGCTATATAAAGCTCACTCTGTATAGTTTTTAGTATCTGTATACTCTTTCCGGGCACCTTTTATGTATAAACGAACGAGTACTAGGTGTAGTTACTCTACGTCTATGATCTATAATATGCTATCCTACCCTATAATGTATATGTGAATCAAATAACGAGATCCTATATGCACTATGAACTATCCGTCAAGTCAAACGCACCTGAACTAGCAATACGTAATACTCCAAACTAGATACCTTGAAATCAACACCTGATCAAAGATAAATCAATAAACCAATACACTACGCCTACGCACTGACCTATATAACGACAATACCTATAGCTAGTCAACCGTAAACGATATGGTCTAAAAAAATCAAATCAGGTCGATGAAATGCTCTGAACAAATGTGAAAAAAATAATTATATACAATGTCTTATATATGTACAACTATTACGCTTCGTAAATCATGCGTAATTATTTCCAAATATTCAAGTAAAAAAATATTTTCTTTATACACCGCTATTCCCTGTGACAGTTCTCAAGTATCAATATAATCAATGTAATTAATGTCTATATATAACCTTAGGTTTCATAAAATTGTATATATCTGTTTCTATACACAAATTCTACCTTAAATGTATACGTAAGTATATCAAAATAGGGGAAAAAATCCCTATACTATTACTATCAACTGTAGATAACAGCAAGAAAACTTTGACTTTTTGACGAACTTACTATGTATTGGATACTAAATTACTCCATAATATAGGGTACCGGAAGATGAAGAACAGCTCAGCTGTATGACGCTCAGAAAGTGTATGTAACTACATGAATTGAAATGCAAAGATTTTGGTTAGCGTCTCAAAAGCAAACAGTTGTTTTTTCTAAATATGTTAAAGACATCGATACCCCTTGATGTAGTAAGCCAAAGCTGGGTCAGTTTTCATTGTGTATAAACAGGTAAGCTAATTAAATACAGTTGATAATAAAGAAATGGCCTACCTTAAATCTTCGTGTACTGCACATTTTCCAGAGAATTATTTCACACACATTAAATAAATTCACACAAAAGTTCATTCAATACAATTATAATAAGATTCACTGCATAAAGTTTGTTCTTCATCTGTACGAGATCCAACGGATAAACGATATAATTGAGTGCACTCGGTTACGGAAAGTGTAGATGAATGGTTTCCGGAATCTTCCAATTCACTATGGTAAGTGTTAGATGGATCGATCTGCCATTTGCTGAATTCGTAAGTTGTCGCTTCTGTCGCCAAGCCTGGTCCCTACGTGGGCGCCATTTGTGATAGGGTCTTATAAGGGCTTTTAATTATAGACTCCAACTGGTTCAGATACTTTATTATATACCAGGAAAATGTAACTCTGCAAAATAATAGCAAATATCATAAGCAATTTTACAAATGTTACATAGCATTATTAAACACAAGCAATATTAAACACTAGTATGATTAAACACAATCATGATTAACTTGTGTCACAATTACAAATAGCTAATTTAAAAGTACATATCAAAGTTTCGGATTGCATTGCAATCTACACAACCGTGCTTCATTTTAGAAAGCGCCAATACGCTTTACAGTTTCAATGTAGAATTATTAAAATGTGCCGAAAGAGAAATAGAATAAAATACAATTTCGTTGCCAATTTGGCTGTGAAAGCAACTATTACAAAATGAACAATCTATAAAGAATAAGGAATTAATCCTTACCAATATGTGGGATTGAGTTATCAAAATCCACTGCCATAAACACTAATACAATTATTCCAGGACACTATATGGTATGTTCTGAAAATAATATACGATTATAAATACCCATGTTCAAAATGAACATTCAAAATACTGTGACAAAGTCTATTCAATTTCAGGCCAATTAAAAATATATAAATTAAGTGTTATGTCATCTTGACAAGACAATAAATTAAATTCAACGATTTCAAAAGATACAATAGAATAGCTATATTTACAATAGATGAAATCGTAATAATTCTAAGCTTGTAAATTATGAGATGTACTCTTAAACACTTAGTTACAAAAATGTGAGAATTATTCTAACCAAAATATAGTTCAAAATATATGATCGGAAAGAGCACTACTTTACAAAATGTATAAAACTTACTGTCAAAAATGTCCAAAAAGGTCCAGAATAATAGTCAGGTACAAATAACATCTAACTTCAAAGAAAGTTCCAAATAATATAAACCTCACAATGAAAACCGTGAGTGAAATAGCAAGACAGAGCCAATAGAAAATAATGTACAAATTACCCAATGAATACCATCGAAAAGTCCAATGCGGCAGAACTTAAATGTACTCACTGTACTAACCAATAGTACATGAAAACGTCATACCTGCACTGCAGTACTAACTGTATGGGGTTCAATACAGGATAATCATATGCTTCAATGGTCAATTATTCATTACACCATAGCAGGGACTAAATTTGGAAAACGGAAAGCTATAGCGTAATGAGTTCAGAAAATGTCTTCAAAATATTTTAACAACTTTAGATCAAATTAAATATTTTTATAGTTTATTGAAATAATTCGCTGAAATGGAAAATTGGTTAAGTTATAAAAATACAAAGTAAAATATAAAAAGAATACTATAAATCGCTGCCACAAAGACAATTGTGAAGGTAAGAATCACGTGAACATACGTACGTCTAAAGTGAACACAGCAAATTATAGAAAGTATTTTATATTAAATAAGCTCAACTGAATCGTTTATCAAACATATTTTGGAATTAAGCTATGTAACTGTTGAAATAGCAATGCAAAAAATATTTAAAATTTTGTTTTGCGTTTTCCACAAAATGCTGTTAATTTTACAAACAAAAAGTGGGATATTTTTATGTAGTACCTTTAAGGGGTTATTCAAGAGAATATGGGTTGATGAACTACGTGGTGTTCGTCGAGGCGCCCTATGATGCCTAACCAATCTAATTTGTTTTCATTGACCCAAAGTATTACGCTCAACTCGCTGGAAGTTAATGACTTCATTTCCGGAATATCTGAGGTTTTTTTTTATGGAATTGTTTATGTCTGTCTTTTGTTTCTGTGTAGAGGTTAGACATGAAATTATCTTTCGTCGCTTTTTTTAATTGGTCCTTGACATCTTTTCCTTTTAGTAAATAGTATATTGCGTATTCATATCGTAAAGAAACGTAATTTCATGATTCGACGTAAATACGACCATAAGCCAACAACAAACAACCGTTTTATTTTTGCTGAGTAGCTAACAATAATAATCTGAAAAATCAAGAACTGAAGACTTCACAGCAATATTCAATATTCAGTACATTTGGCAATGGTTTTTAGAGCATGAAATCAGTAAACTTGGAGTTTATTACTGGTTTATTTGCTTTAGATTATGAGTGCCCAACTGGTACCATTAAATGTGCCGACCATACCTGTACAAACGGAGCAGTATGTGATGGATGGGATGACTGTAAAGATAAATCAGACGAAAAAGACTGCATTGGTAAGAAATGGTTGTTATGACAAAATGAATACAGTATTTTAGTTATTAGATAAATGTGAACTGTTGATTTTGCATGGAAATTTGGTGTTCAATGAAATAATGATTAAGTTAATTAAAAAAACACCATGCATGGAGAAAACAATAAGACGAAAGGCAGTCTACAAACATTACACATACACTGGAGATTGACAAACATGAACCAAACCACATTCGGGATCGAACTCACTTATTATTGAAGAGGAAGCTTTTAAAAGACATTTTTGACCATTTATTCGCTACTTTTAATGTCTCGGGATAAGCGAGTCAGGGGTTGACATATTGAACAAACACTTGTCTACTGTAGAAAACTGTAAGTCGTCCTCTTAATGACATCTGAATGTGTTGCTTACTTTTGTCGTTGATCTGTTGTCTCACATCTCTTTTTTTTTTTTTTTTTGGAAAACGCAAATTATATCGTTTTTTTTTCTTTTTGTCGATTCTTGTAGTCACATTAAATTTTCTTAAATGTCTGCTTGCTTTTATTATTTTGCAGACTTTGAATGTGCAGAGGGTCAGATAACATGTGCAGATAGTCGCTGTGCCTGGGGTGATCGATGTGATGGCAATGAAAATTGCCGAGACAAATCAGACGAAGAAAACTGCAACGGTACATTTGAATAGCACGCTAAAATAACGCCATCTACAAAACCAAGGTCCCCTCAAAGAAAGCATTATTTTCTCAACGAATACTTTGCTTTGGCCTCATGTGCGGAACTATTTATTCGTTTTAGTAGAATAATAGCAAAAAGTGGCATTTAAACTCTAGAAATTTAATGTCACCTGCTTACCATTCCAAGGCACATGGGGTCGCCCCTTATTTTCATGTTGCTCTTGATTTAGCTTTCAGTGTTGTACATTGTGGTTTTTAATTTTTTTTATGTTGGTTTGTTTCAATAACAATCTGGTAAATCCTTTGTCCTAAAAATATGTGTTTCAATATCAAAATTTTGAATTCGGTTAAGTCTTAGAATTACAAAATTCGTTTGCACCTGTCCTAAGTCAGGAACCTGATGTTCAGTGGTTGTCGTTTGTTGATGTGGTTCATAAGTATTTCTCGTTTCTCGTTTTTAATATAGATTAGACCGTTGGTTTTCCTGTTTGAATGGTTTTACACTAGTCATTTTTGGGGCCCTTTATAGCTTGCTATTCGGTGTGAGCCAAGGCTCCGTGTTGAAGGCCGTACTTTGACCTATAATGGTTTACTTTTACATATTGTGACTTGGATGGAGAGTTGTCTCATTGGCACTCATACCACATCTTCTTATATATAATGACAGATGGTTTACGAATTTGACAATGACTTGGGGTTAGATAAGAGCTACCAATCCGCTTTTGCGTGATGCCTAGCCTAACTTGTATGAATACTAATAATGCACTTAAAAAGCAAGTCTTGGCTTATATTAAAACGTTATCATTCATTTAATGATGATGACGATGACGATGACGACTCGACGATTGATTTTACTTAATGAACTGCAAAGTCCAAACTATTTGTATTTACACCAAGATGTCGTTAAATGAAATCGGATACCCTGTATTAATCATGCTTTTCTGTTGAACTAACTTTAAATCAAGCTAATACTAACAATGAACACTACCCTTACCTGGATCTTGATATCTATATCATTAACGGGAAGCTTAATACCAAAATTTATGATAAAAGAGATGATTTTTCATTTCCTATTGTTAATTATCCATTCCTTGTCACCATATTATGGTGTTTATATATCTCAACGTGTACGATTTGCTCGTGTATGTAACAACGTATTAGATTTTAGCGAAAGAAATCTATGTATTACTGAAAAATTATTACACCAGGGTTTTCGATATCACAAACTAGTCAAAACATTTACTAAATATTATCATCGGTACAAGGACATCATTCGTAAATATAAATCAACATGCAGACATCTTATACGTTCAGGTATTTCACATCCAATCTTTTATGGTAATATTCTTTACAAAGCACAAAAATGTCGGCACTCACCTCTAAAGCTAACAAAACCTTTAAACAGACTTATTAAGAAGGGATGTAGTTACGATACTGTTGTCAGGTCATTAAAGATGGCATATTTTGGCTTTAATATTGATTCACTTAAAGGGTCTTTGCATCGGAAATAAACACATTTATTCTAAAACCAGTTGTTGGCATGATACGGGTTATGTTCTTCTCATATATTTTATATATAATGGTATGATACTAAACCCCTAACGGGAGGGATTGTGTTTGATATTCATATGATGAAGACATAATCATTCAATCAGTTTAATTGAGGTTTGGAGCTGGCATGTCAGTAACTGCTAGTAGTCCTTTGTTAATTTATGTATCATTGTCATTTTGTTCAGTTTCTTTTGTTACGTTTCTGACATCGGACTCGGGCTTCTTTTAAACTGAGTTTTACTGTGCGTATTGCTGTGTGTTTGTTTTTTTTTTCTACATTTGCTAGAGGTATAGGGGGAGAGTTGAGATCTCAAAAAACATGTTTAACCACGCCGCATTTTGCGCCTGTTCCCAGTCAGGAGCCTCTGGCCTTTGTTAGTCTTGTATGATTTTTAATTTTAGTTTCTTTTATATATTTCGGAGTTTAGTATGACGTCCATTATTACTGAACTAGTACATATTTTTGTTTAGGGGGCAGCTAAAGCACGCCTCCGGGTGCGGGATTTTCTCGCTGTATTGAAGACACATGGAAGGCCTTCGGCTGTTTTCTGCTCTTTGATCGGGTTGTTGTCTCTTTGACACATTCCCCATTTCCATTCTCGATTTTATTTTCAATAATAAAATTATATGGTCAAATTGCTGAGGACCCCCTTTCTAAATTAATGAAAACTAACATTCTGCATTGACATCAATATCTTGGTGTAAATTAGATACATCCATTCGGGTTAAAACCAATAAACAATCAACTTTAATATCTTTGTAAACTTAAGGACACCAGAAAGTTGAATTAAAAGACAAATGGAGGCTACCTAGAAGAATATATATTTTCATTACAAGAGTAACGTATAGGCAGTTGGAAAGTAATGAAAAAAATAGCATCCTAAAATTAAGACGTCTAAAAGATAAATCTTTCTGTCTACCTGCTATGAAACAACATTCTATAATATTCAGCTGGAAGATCAATACTGCAAACATATGCTTTATCTTCCCTGCACCCAGGTAATGATCTTTGCCAGCGCCAAGATCGATCTCATAGCATTGCAAATCACCTCGATGATATGTTTTATGCTTTGAAATGTCCCTCGGTATAAGTTGCTGTTTGTAAATCCTATCGTAACTTATTAGGATTAAATCGTTCATTTCAATACTGACCTGTGATTGCTAAATGTTGGTTTATTTTCAGAATGTAAGAGTGGTTCTTTCCTATGTATAAAGGATGAGAAGTGCATTCCAGATTCCTATAAATGTGATTCTTGGCCGGATTGTAGTGATGCTTCCGATGACGTCGGCTGTGGTACGTAAGAAAAAACGTTTCATAATTGTTATCGATGTCTATAATATGAAGATTAATAGATATAAATAGATACCGATGACATTCTTTAAACAATATAGTTGTATAGTAGTTAACAACATTACTTCTACTGGTACATTTTCTTCGGATAAATGGATGACAAAATATTTCTTTCTGGCTTTTGGTTACATGTGTTTTAATTCGTAGAAATATGAATATGTAACGTTGTGATAAATAGAATTTTTATCAAATTCGAATAGAAGTGTGTCAGCATCTAATACTAGGGTTGTGGTTACATGCAAGTTTAAAAGGTAGGCAATATATATACAATATATCTGCCAACGAAATTGAATGATAGTTGATAGTATGAATATAAATAGAACAAATGTGAAACGTACCTGAATGCCATCCAAAAAAAGTGACTGGAAACCAGCAGTTGTACATTTACCCATCAGGGGATAATATCAAAACATATTATTTCAGTTTGCGTGCTTTTTGTGTACGTTCAAGACGAAAAGTTTTGAATATTTAATATAAAACAAGCAGCTTAATACATTCAACGGATCTTCTTAAAAACATTAAGAAAAGACATCAAAGGGTAATAAAAATCATCAGTCTAATAATAACAAACACCATCATAATAAAAGATAAACGACGAAAAGACAAACAACGATCACAATATATTACACAGGCAACCAAAGATTGAAGAACAAGAACTGAGGGAAATATCGCGTAATAATAATGATGATAATAGTAATAATAATATATTTATTCAAAGAGAGTAACTCATTTGGATTATTTCAATTAAAGGTATTCCGGAAGGGTTAGCAGTTCCTGCTCTACATCTGGCACCGTCGTATTGCTGGTGAAAGTAAAACATTTTTATGCCATGATAGTTTTTACACCAAATACATTTTGATACATAAAGAGGATAACAGGAATTACTACATGTATTTAACATTAAAACCAAACACCCGACTTCCCCAGATTTAAACATAGAAGAACGTAGATTTCTATACATGTCTTCTGTTGGTTTTGTTAGGTTAATTTAATTTGATACGAAAGAGAAATAAGCCTTTGTTATATGCAAATGTGAACTACGCGAAAAGAGTACATCGATAGCATACACAGATTTTAGCTCGGTTCTTTAGATAAACTACATAATATATTCAACGCAGTTCACTGTGATAATCCTTGTAGCACTATATTTAACTAGAAATAGTCAATGCCAAAAACAACCTAGTAGGAAACATGAAGTTTTAGTGTCTTTTTCTAGGCGGTTGTGACGATGATCGATTTAGATGTGGAAACTCACATTGTGTTGATGTTGATAAATTGTGTGATGGACAGGATGATTGCGGCGATTTGTCAGATGAGAGATGCAACGCTTCATCAGTTATACCTATACCTATAGATCTGCCAGGACTGCCAGATACAGGGCCACATGTGGGACCTCCTTTAATATTACCAACAGCACCATCTGAAGATCATATACAATTGCCTGGTATGCCATTGGAAGGTAAAAAAAGAACAATTCCTTTCTGTGAAAAAAAACGAACAGTTTTTCAAATATGATATTTTTTATTTTATAAAATACGCTTTTTAAAAAAATTAATAGTTATAGCCAAGTTGTTCATAATTTCTTAGTTGAAACACCCCATTATCTTTGCATTCTGTAGAATTTGTTCCATTTATAGATATCAGCAGATTACTATGTCTAAGAATCTTATTTTACAGATTGGTTAGGGCCTTCCATACCTTGGGAAATAAGCAGTAAAAGAGTGTCAAACATTGGATACAACAAACAGCTTATGAGACAACGGCTTTCTAGCAGTAACACACGACGACATGATTACAGACAGCTTGTGGGAGAACATGTTCATAGTCGAACAGGACATGATTACAGACAGCTTGTGGGAGAACCTGTTCATAGTAGAACAGGATATGATTACAGACAGAAATCATTATCTCTACATGAAGATCTTCGTCGAACAAAGGTCCACGATAATAGATTATCAAAGGGAACGGCAAGATTGAATGCTTATCGAAGACTTCAAATGGCAAAATCAAATGCTCGGTCTCTAGCTGTAAAAAGGAATAGATTTGCTGCACAGATGGAGAGGAAAGAATCAATTCGTCACTCATTAGCCGGACAAAAGATTAAGCACACTTTAGCCGGACACAAGATAAAACACACTGCACAGGTGGAAGAGGTTGTTCGTCAGCTAAAAGAACTGACAGCTTTAAAAGACAGTAATGAAAATGAAAAAGTCCAAGGCCGTGGCGAAATAAACTCAAATGATATCAGACGCCATATGTTAACTCATGGCCTGATCAAAGAACATTTTACTGCACGCCAATTGTATGATGCAATGAAGTACCTTAGACAGAACGAATAAGTCGAATATATTTAATTACATTACCAATACTCCTGCGAATCCAGTTTTATAGTATTTGTCATTAATTTACTGATTTGTATCTGAATAACTTTTTAGTCCATGAAAAGTTTTAGTGATTTATCTTTAAGAAAATTTTGTAAATATCTAAGATTTAGAATTAGAATTAGTCAAATTCATATTACTGTATTACTGAAGACAACGCTAATAAATTTAAATTTCACTTTTTTATTGTTACGCTTTCCTTTTTAAGTCAGTGAATGTCTTTAACGATATCTTAATGTTTATGGTTTTCAAATGAATTTGCTCTTTCTCTTTAAATTAATACACAACAGATACTTTTCTTTACTTAGAACTTGAAAATGAAAATAACACATTATATACGTATATACGTTTTCTGAATTAACCTTCATCAGGACTTCTCAAACTTTAACGCTTGAAATCAAAAGGTGTGTAAAATGTAGAAATGCTAGAAGCTATATAGTCAAAAGGGACATAATTTTTTATAGTTTGTTCTTATGTTGTACTGTTACACCACTGTCACGGGTTAGGGGAGGGTTGGCGCCTTCAAACTAGTTTAACCTCGCCTCATTATGTATGTGCCTGTCCAAAGTCAGGAGCCTGTAATTTAGTGGTTGTCGTTTGTTGCTGTATATCATATTTGTTTTTCGTTCATTATTTTGTACATAAATCAGGCCGTTAAATTTCCCGTTTGAATTGTTTAACATTTGTCATTTCGGGGCCTTTTATAGCTGACTATGCGGTATGGGTTTTGCTCATGGTTGAAGACCGTACGGTGACCTATAGTTGTTAACTTCTATGTCATTTGGTCTGGTGGAGAGATGTCTCATTGGCAATTATACCACATCTTATTATTTTTATAAAAGAAATTGCTAAATTTATCTAAGGTAATTTAAAACTTTGCCTGGGGGTTTGAACCATATTTTCCAAATAATTGTTATACTTATCAACGGTATATTTAAGAACAATGTGTTATAAAACATATTAGTTTAGAATGTCTGACCCCTGAGCTGAAGATCGAGGACTAACAGTCCACCAGCAGAGGTATCGATCCAGTGCTACGAAATGAAAAATAAAACTTTATAAATATCGTGTGTCCTTTTCTGGATTTACCTTCATCAGGAATGCTCGAACTTAAACATCTAAAATGTTCTATAAAATAATTTTAACCGGCACAAATTTGACTTCACATGATGCGCATTTTGACATGTTTTTTCGGTGAAGTACGAGGAAAAAAATATTTGTAAATCTAAAACAAAATATAAACACCGAAGAGCTGATAAAACCGAAACAGACCAACATTATAGCCAAACCCGGACCCAATCATGTAGGAGATACGGCAATTAGTTTCGAGTGATACTTTCTTATGTTTCAACCCTACAATTTCACAAAAAGAATCATACATTGTGTTGAATATTTGTTTTAGTTGTCCTTTTTGTCATCTGCAGCTGTTTACACCACATGTTCGCATTATCCTTTTACTTACAAAAAATGTATATTCACAAAATCAAATTCTTAACAAACGTACATTATTTTAAATTCTGAATCAATAAAATTGGAACTTATATAGAATGGAGATACATATCTCTCTCTCTCTCTCTCTCTCTCTCTCTCTCTCTCTCTCTCTCTCTCTCGTATATATGTAAACTCTCGTTTATATTCTCTATATATTCTCATATATATATAAACTCTCTCTCATATATATGTAAACTCTCGTTTATATTCTCTATATATTCTCATATATATATAATGATTATTCTGGCAATCAGCAACAAAAAGAGATTTCTGAAGTCGATACTTTAATCTCGTTTTTTCGGTTTTTGCAATTCATACAAAACGGAAAGTAGCTCAAACATGTAGTATTTGTTTGTGAACATGTTCCATCTTTTTATCGATAGATCTCAATTTTACTCTTCAGTTTTTTGAGTTTATATATCAATCTGCTTCTACTTTGAAATCATCATTGTGACAAATTCTACAATATAAAAATATAAATCATTAGATTGTACACACTGGTACCATTTGCAGGCAATCCAATTCCCTTGTCAAATTTAATCATCAATTTTAAACTATATTATATAAGTGATCAGATATAGACATGTTTTCCTTTCGCCTTGATTCACATTTATATTTCTTAAGAATGGAATGAACCGCCGATTTTTATTCAGTTTTATTTGACTTTTATAAAATAAAAATTATTGGTATAATTAAATTTTGTATTGGCCCAGGGGAAGTTTTCGATGTTCGATTCTATCTGACTGGTTTTTGTTCTTTCTTATTCTTGCTTTGTCTCAGTTGTATCCTTTATTTCAACTTATTGCAGCTCGTTAGAATTTTAGTTGATATTAACTCATCAATATTTCCACTTGGTCTCTTTGTATCTAATAATTTACTCGATGTTACATTCGTAGTACAGTATTAACAGTTATGTGTTGATGTTACATTCGTAGTACAGTATTAACAGTTATGCGTTGATGTTACATTCGTAGTACAGTATTAACAGTTATGTGTTGATGTTACATTCGTAGTACAGTATTAACAGTTATGTGTTGATGTTACATTCGTAGTACAGTATTAACAGTTATGTGTTGATGTTACATTCGTAGTACAGTATTAACAGTTATGTGTTGATGTTACATTCGTAGTACAGTATTAACAGTTATGTGTTGATTTTACATTCGTAGTACAGTATTAACAGTTATGTGTTCTTATAAGCGTTGTTTCCTGTCATTGACTGTAAATTTTTGAACATATTTTGTCAACCATTCACTTTGCTGCTCTTTTAAATTGTGGTGACTTACCTTCATAATTTACCTGACCATCTCCATCAATATCGGCTTCTCGTATCATCTCGTCAACTTCCTCGTCAGTTAGCTTTTCTCCGAGATTTGTCATCACGTGACGTAATTCAGCTGCACTTATAAATCCATTACCGTCTTTATCAAAAACTCTAAAAGCCTCTCTGAGTTCTTCTTCAGATTCACCGCCATCTTTGATTTTTTTTGCCATCATTGTTAAAAATTCTGGAAATTCTATTGACCCATTGCCTGATAATATAAGATTTTTTCAAATAAGTCGGTTTTGTATGGAATTTTGTAATTCCATTATGGTGTTGGCAATAATTTTTAATGTTTTCTACTTTGTATCTTTTTCTAATTTTTATCTTTCGTTTGAAATTAAAGTACAAATTAATTCTATCAAAACGCGTTTAATAATTAACAAGATCTAAAACAATAGTAAACATTACCATCTCAAAATAGCCAGCTCAGAGTACTTTACAGCCTTCTATGAAATCAAGCGTCCTACACTCAAATATTGGGGACTAAACTTCAGAAAAGAGTTCAACTGTGCAGAAAGACACTATCGTCTTCATGCCAGAAAACATTTGTTCAGAATTTCGATGCAGAAGAAGATTGATTGATTTATTATTTTTTATGTTAATTCCACTTTCAGCACTCTTGGTTATATCAAGGGTGGGTCAGTTATTTTTCATCGACGGAGGAAGCCGGGTGACCGGAGAGAACCACCGATCACAGAAGAAGAAGTGTTTTAGTCTTGCTTCAAAATATAACTTTGGAATTGTTAGTTCTCCCCAAAATAATAAATACAATGGTTGAAAAACAACAGTATGATTGCAACTTTTATCAATAAGTCTATCAAGCTTAAAGACAGATTCAAAGGACAATTTGTAAACCTGTAAGCTTTTATAAATGATATTACCGTCCGACACTGGGTTTAAAATAAATTCCTGAAATTAGAAGAATACTTTCACAATAAAATTATTTGTTCGTGATAAAATGTATCAAAAGTTTTGATAAATTCATGACGACATCAATAGCTCTGTCAAAATAAAGTAAAGTAATGAAAATATTATCTGTGACGTCACTGTAAACACGTGCTAATATAGAAAGATTACAATGAATTGGTTTTTAAATCAAGATCTGAAAAGGGGCAATGGTGACCATTTTCGTTGAATTTCACATATAAGTACAGTAAATACACAAGTGCAAACAAATATTTGTCTATGAAATAAAATGGTAACCACGTGCACAATTTTACACGTACACGTTTTATTCCGTACGGTTTTTTTTTCAATTGAAGAGTTGATAAAGCTTAAAGTGTGTCCTACCGTCTGTATCCACATCATTGATCATATCCTGTAATTCTGCCTCTGTCGGATTCTGACCGAGTGATCTCATTACTGTTCCTAGCTCCCTACAGGAAATTGTACCATCTCCATCTTTGTCAAACAAACTAAACGCTTCTTTAAATTCTGTGTGATAGACAATTTTAAAATATTTATTCATTTGTTACTTTTACTATATACAGTCATGCTTATATGAGAAATACATATTATGAAAGTTTACAAAACAGAGCAAAATGTGCTTTCTATTCTTTATATAGTAATCCTAAATATATGTTAAAAGCTTTAGGGTGATTTGTTTCAACTTTACCTGCTATTTGTTCCTCTGTCAATGATTCTGCCTGTAAAAAACAAAAATTATAAAAGTAATAACTTTCATCAATATACAATAAAACACATCTAATTTGGTTTGGTGTTGATCGCACACCTTAAAGTTTGATCATTTCTGTTTAATTTATTTACATTTTTAGACTCGGTCGCTGAAGACTAAACACATGTCTGTTGCTGATAATTGTATGTTGACCACTAAATATATTCAAGTTGTTTGTGTCGTTGGGTTACTGCCTCATATGATTTATTTCAGCTATGTGTTGGTCTTTTTGAATTCAGAATAGATTTTGTTTATATTATATATGTTGATGACTTCGTCTTAGCATAAAGATTAGTTATAATCAAAAGCCTTAAGAACTGTACCATTGCTGGTGGACTTTGTTTGCCCAGTGGAGTGGAATTTGTTTATCCAGTGGAATCAGCTCATCTACCTGTTAGGAAGTGTTTCGGTACTGAATCATTAGACGGTGTTGTATGAGTTTTTCACGTCCTTTTTGTTTTCATGATTTAATAGGATTTCTATTTTTGACTTTTCAACTTTTTGGTCTTCCTGACCTCTGTAAACCTGATGCAGGTAAATCAACCATGGACACGGAACTGGTTATAATACTTATTATTATCAATTTGTTCATGCCAAGTTATAGTTAAAAGGAAATTTAAATGAAAATATGAGCAATCATGTATTACCAACAAAAAGACATTTGATTTTCATTTAAACATTAGAATATACTAGTAGATCTGGTCATTCATCGTCTTTCGTCAAGTAATTAATATTCTTTTCGCTTTCGATCTTTTGGCATCACCAGCTTGGCATACGAAGCTATTTTGCTCAAAAGTCAATGAAAAAAGACAGAAATCTTGATATATATTGTAAGTAAGTAACAACTCCCTCGCTGGTATATTGGTATGATAAGTCACTAGTAACGATAGACATGATGGCAACATATATCCTTTTAAAGTGAAGGGTAATATAAGGAGTCAATGAATGCATTTCTTAGGCTTTACATTACGTTCAAAATAAAAATGAAAATAATAAAAGAGTAATTTGACTACCTGTGAAATTTACATATAATTTAATTATTCATAGTAAATAAGCTGAGATACTCACCATTCTGAAGTGTGTGCTGTATTTAATTTATATACAATATTAGCTATATGAACCTAATAAGATCAGAATAAATATTTACTTGTAAAGAGTTACTGAATGTATCTGATGATAATAATCTCTGGTGTAATATTTCACAAAATAACAATCTTTACCGCAATGGGACAAGCACACAATTTAAATATACTGAATATCTTAAAAAAAACTACACCATGTGTTTCTCTCAAGCAAATGTGACTTTAAAATGATATTTGGTAGGCTATGTTTTGATTAAAAGCATATCAGAACAATAACAACATTATGTGTGCGGAAAGCCTTCCTCTTTTTTTCATTTTCATTTTCATACGTTACTCTCAATTAACTTATTTGTTAGATAGAAACATAAACGTTTTGAAGATTAGCTGATACACAAATTCTTACATAGGCGAGTGAAAGGTGATAGGTCAACGCGGGGAATGGGACCTACTCTTAAATTTGGGATGAAAAACTACGTCCCCCTTTTTAAGCCGAAATTTTCTAAAATATTGGTGAAATGACTAAAGGCATTAAAACCTAGTAAGTTAACACTATTGATATTGTTTTGAACCTTCTTTTAAGTATTGGTTACATTTCATCGGAACATATTTTCAAATATGGGATTTTTTTTTTATATTCTTGTTCTTGACGTTCTTTAACATTAAATTTCAAACGACGTTGGCTTTTTTAATATGTTTGTGTTGGAAAGATAATTACGCTTTGTATATTTAATTATAAATCTATTTATACTACATGGTCTATTGTTTAAGATGAATGTGAGTAATCAGATTTAATTAACTATGCCTTTGCCTTTAACAGATTATGAACTAACTGCCGCAATGCGACAGAAATTGGCCAATTGGAATACTGCACCCTCACAAAAGTATAGCATGACTTGTTTATCAATCGTTTCAAATGAAGGAGTGTATATTTCGTGTCGTTGATTTAATATGTTGTTCCAACGATTGCGTTTCTATCATTTTACTTCAAAGTCATTTTATTTCATTAATATTTTAAACTTTACCCAATTTTTGCTTTAATTCAATCTTAAGCTCAAGTGTGCTTATCTTATCTAAAAATTATATTTGCTAGCATTTGTATGCTCATGTGTAGTTACTTGTCTTAGTTGAAGAAACCGTGTTGTATTGTGATGTTTTGTATTTATGCTATAGTCGTTTGAAAGGGCTTTCTTTGCTTTTTCACTTTTTGATTCGAGCGTCGCTGATGATTCTTTTGTAGACGAAATGCGCGTCTGACGTACAAAATTTTAATCCTTGTATCTATGATTAGTTTATTGTTGATTGTACATATGTGCCGACTCTAAATAAAATTTACTTATTTACTTACCATGTAACGAATTTGTTACATCTTTATTGTTTCATAATTGTTTGCTTTTATTATAAATCCCTGCTTAGTACAGACATTTCCTTATTTTTACAAGCTTCAAGTTCCAACAGTTGTCTTTCTTTTTATTAGGAGACTTTATATTTGTATAATTCGGAAGGAAATTCATATATTTTCTATTCTAATGATTGATACATGTTTGGCTTTTTGTTGCTTTGATTTTTCAATACGCTTTATGACGTTTTTGCATTCTTGTTTGAATTGAAAATCCGGTAACTTATATGCTTTGCTGGCTTAAATACGGTTGGCTTAACCAGAGACATATACTTAGACATATTACTTTTTTCCCCTTTAGATGTGCCTTCAATATTATCATTGTACTGCAAGTATTGATTGTTTTCTGTGATTACTGGTCCTTCACTCTGGAACGATTTGCCTGAAAACCAACATAATAATAATAATATGTATCTTTAAAGGCGTTAATTGATGTGCATAAACTCTTACTCACAATCTGAAATTAAACTCGACCGACTCACCAAGAAACTGAATAAAGTCCGAAGGTAGCTAGTCTCTATGGTACCTAACATTGTATGAGAATTTAGTTTCAATTGGTTGAAGTATTTCTTTAGTTATCACGAGACGTCCTCAAATGGACGGACAGACTGATAATACGTCTGAATTTGAATTGGGATATAAAACTATAGTTCAGAAACATTCAATGACAATCAATCGTGAACTGGAAGCTCCAAGAAGCCTGTCGCTTATCTTGTAAATCTATACATAATAGAAAGCTTCAAGAAACTTGTTGCTTATCTGGCATACCTGCACACAATAGGAAGCTCAAAGAAGCCTGTCGCTTATCTGGTATATCTGTTCATAACATAAAGTTCCAAGAAGCCTGTCTCTTACCTGGAATACCTGTTCATAACATAAAGTTCCAAGAAGCCTGTCTCTTACCTGGAATATCTGTTCATAACATAAAGTTCCAATAAGCCTGTCTCTTACCTGGTATACCTGTACATAATAGAGAGATCCATGAAGCCTGTCGCTTATCTGGAATATCTGTACATAGTAGGAAGCTCAAAGAAGCCTGTCGTTTATATGGTATATCTGTTCATAATAGGACGCTCCTTGACTAGCTGCTTACATATACGTAGAATTGTCGTGTTCCTAAGAAGTATACAGCCAGTAAAAAAAAGAATCGGAGTTGGTACGTGAGAAATTTATTCCCATAGCAACATTCCCAAATAATTGTTAACATAATGCCTATAGTCTGCTGTCCTTATCGTTTATCTTATAATAAATGAGGAATAATAATATCATAAAACGATTCTGTTGTTTTTTTTATTTTCAAGAACATTTTCTGTTGAACTTAATATAATCAGCAGCTTTCTCACGAAGAACGCGCAAAGTGTTGATGAGTTCTCAAGTGGTTGTCACGGAGGTTATTTTTTTGTCATTACCTTCCCCAATAACCACTTCACCCAAATAAAAGTATCAATCTTTCATTTTTTTATGTATGGTCAGAAAAGTGGCATAAAAGAGTAGAGAAGGTATTATTCTGAATTACCGGAAGGCCAAGCTATTTTCCGACCGGGAAAATAACAATTTTTTGCTATTTTCTGTATTGACCAGAAGAATAGCCACTGCCATAAAAATAGCATGAATAAACATAAACAAATATGAGACATAAAACAATATCTTCGTCATATTATATCACCAGTTAAAAGATAGAATTGATTTAAAATGGTTTAAATCTTGAACAAGAGATTAATTGCCATACAGACAAAATATTTATACAGACATGGTAAGTAAACTTTATAAGGTCTTTAAAAGTAAACGTGAGTAAACTGATTCTAAGATGTTTCGTATTACGGTACACATTGTATTAACATAGAAATCATTTTTCTTGTATAATTGTAGCAATGTATTTACAGTCAAATTGTTTTGTTTTGTTTTGTTTTTTTCTTTTTTTGGATGATTGTAGCAATATCATGATTCATAAAACTTTAAGTGCTGTTCTATTATAGTCATTTTGGTTTATTTCAATGCTATCTTTTATTTCATTCGTACACTTAGTCTAGTTGACAAATGGAACCAACGTTAGTAGGGGCGTTTTTAACAAACATTTCATACTAAATTCTTTAACACGGTTGTGAAGGTTAAAGTCCGATTTAAAATTAGTAAATTATTATTACAATCAAATATTTATTTAGTTATGGCATTGGATTTACACAATAAATATCATTTAAGATTTGTATTTAGCTGCTGTTGAAATTATGGTAGGTGTAATTAGCGTTATCGCTCAAGGTAAACAGATATATTGTGTACTATTCAGAATGAAGACCATAACAATATTAATATACATATATATATACAATGTATTTCAAATTAAGAGAAGTTCGGGTTTCAGTTTGGAAACCCTCGTTCATTTTGTCTGTAATGGAAAATGTAACCCCATGTTCTAAAATCGATATGCGATCAGTCAAATAGTATGAGCAACAATTATTCATTTCAATTAAATGCCTAAATAAAGATTAAATCTCCTTTAACATTTGCATAAGATAATCCTAATTAACATCTTTATTAAAGTTGACCCTGGTTTACGGTTCACATGTACACTGATCAAGAGATGTATAAATAATAAATAGTATCGACATTTTAAAATCTTGTCTTCGCTATTTTAATTCAAGTAACGTGGAAAAAACGATAGTACACACACTGTCATAATTCTAAAGAGAAGTTTTTTTTTGTTTTCAGCGTTTGAAAAAAACTTCTTGGTTGTTCGGGCATTGTCCTTTGGAATCATTGTCTTTTGGAAATTTATTTCAGTTAGAATATTTGTTTTTTCTTGATTATCTTTTCGTTTTTGTAGTCTCTTCAGTATCATGTTTCTCTGTATTTAAATCAAAGAACCACCCTGTAATTGCATAAATACGTAAAAATGGACACAAAAGAAAATGGAAAAGTTAGGGAGCAACTATTTAACTTTAAGTGTGTGTGGGGGGGGGGGGGGTATGTTTTTTTTTCTGAGTCAGAACATTTTTATTTACTTTTTCGACGCTATCAATCAAATTATTTTTTTTCCAAATTTAACACTATAAGGTATGGGGAAAATCTGGATTCAGAATATTTTTTTTTATCATCTGCTTGACCAGAATATTTTTATTTTTTTCATCAAATTGGGGATCAGAATATTTTATTTTTTTTAGGAAAAACAATAACCCCCCCCCCCCCCCCCCTCCTTCCCCCCTTGAAGTTAAATGGTCGTTCCCTTAGAGTTTTAAATAAAGAATTTAATTCAAATTGGAAAAGTAAGGTTTTAATGCACTGCTCCTTCGTTCCAGGCTGATCAGCTTACAGAAGAACAGATACACGGTAATGGTGTTTGACCTATTGTCATTTGGATCAAGCATCTAACGTATATTAACATTTATTTAAGTATTCTTTATCAAATGATGGAAACTATTACTGTACAATTCATGTATGTTTTTATAAAACAATTAAAAAAATATGGGAATCAAAGCTAACCTGAAGACGTGATAATAAAATAATTACTCCCATAAATTTTATACAAATACTTTTTTTGTGTCTTCTTGCAAGGATTTGTATAGTAAGATTCAGAAATTCAATTATATTGCAGTAATCGATCATCAACAAACAGTTTGGTTTTTTTTAAATAATTTGAAGTAATATTTTTATATATCATTTAAAGTAATGAATTGTTCTATTGTTTTAGTCTCTTGTGGTCATATAGATCTCATACATCCTTGGCTTTCAAATGATTAGGTTTGAGCGTTTCTGATGGAGGTTAATCCAGAAAAGCGCTTCAGACGCTCACAATTGATAACGTGTTATCTTCATTAGCTTAAAGGGTTAGACCTTACCAGAGTTAGATGAGAGACACACGCATGCATACGTTTAAGAACCCTGAAATTGCCAAATAAACCAAAGAGAAGACTAATAGAGTAATAAAAGTGTTAGAGTACACACATACATGTTATGAGATACCTGAAGCGTTACTTTATAATATTGAAAAAAGAATACTGATAAATAAATATAAGAAGATGTGGTATGAGTGCCAATGAGACAACTCTTCATCCAAGTCACAATTTGTAAAAGTAAACCATTATAGGTCAAAGTACGGCCTTTAACACGGAGCCTTGGCTCACACCGAACAGAAAGCTATAAAGGGCCCCAAAAATGACTAGTGTAAAACCATTCAAACAGGAAAACCAACGGTCTAATCTATATAAAAAACGAGAAACGAGAAACGAGAAACACTTATGAACCACATCAACAAACCACAACCACTGAACATCAGGTTTCTGACTTGGGACAGGTGAAAACAAATGCAGCGGGTTTAAACGTTTTAATAGGCGCCAACATTCACCCTACCTGAAACAATAGTGTAACATCAAAACATAGAAAGACACACTATAAAATATCAATTGAAATGGCTTAACTCAATTTAGAAAGACAACCATAACCTTGAACAAAATGCCGCCAAATTAAATAACGTACACAAGTAAATAAAAATATTTTTGTTGTGAGGTATACATGAAGTACGGAAATAATTTTTACAAAAATAAATAATTTTGTTGTTCCTAGTCCGAAAACAAAAGTGAAAATTTATCGTCATACTAAACACTTATCAAAGGTGGTATATATTAAAAATAGTGAGACTAGATATAACACTGAATAAGTAAACATTAAATAACAAAAATACATTACAAATTGTATCAATAGGTCAAATTAACACGAAAGTACGATTTGAGAGTACTCGCAGTTACTGAAAGCTAGTTAAAAGCCAAAAACAATTAATAATAAAAAAATCATGCATCAGAGACTAAAATCAACTAAAACCACATCCCAGGGATTTAGTGTTTTAACGTCATGGACAGTCAAAGAAGACATGACTTGTGCAATGCCAAAATAAAAGTATCGACAGGCAGTAGGATAGTTAGGAGTTAACCTGTTAATAAATATAATGTAATATATAGATAGAGTAATCTCTATATAGAAAATGAACGTGGATGTGTATTTATACATCCCAAAAAACGTTTAAAAGAATATAAAATCTGCTGATGACAAAATCGATATTTGTGCCAATGTAAACTATATTCAAAGATCTAATTACAACATTGGTAAGATAACCTTTACTATAATAAGTGTGTTTAAAAGTTCGATGAGTTTATAGGATTACATAGTGATTTCAACGATTTTAGTACAATATTACCGTAAAATTTAGGATGTGAAATACCGTTTTTTATAAGTTTTCTACAGGTACAGCCAAATTTATTAAATCCCTGAATTAATAATTTACCAGTGATGCATTGATTACGTTCCACTACACACCCTATTATCAGTAAGGCAGATACCATAGGTAAGACAGTTCCTTATATGCTGTACACGATCCCAAAATCCATTGCGTTGCAATGACAATCGAAAACGCAGACAAAATTCTATTTATACAAACACGATGGATGCAGTTCGAGGCTTCATTCAAGTCAATCTAATTGAAATAAAGATCTCTGATTTCGTTATTCTGATATATACGCCCATCGAGTTAGATCTAAATTTTAATCAGATTGCTTTCAAGTTAGAATTAAACCAACTTCTCGAATATTTTATTATGTTATCTATTCAACTCCTGGAGGATTTGGACCTATTTTGGGCATATCTACATTGATACCCTCTTTCCACTGATTAAGACAAGACTTTTCTTCCTTGGTTTGTTCTGTTTATCAGTTATTCCTTTGACCTGTTTTCTCAATCAATAAAATTTCAGAATTTAAAGAGGCTTTCAGTTTATTTGACCAAGATGGAAGTGGAACAATCACATCTAAAGAATTGGGAACAGCAATGAGATCACTAGGCATGAACCCAACCGAAGCAGATCTAGCAGACATGATAAATGAAATTGATGCTGATGGTAAGGCATTCTATAATTATGAAGAATAAACCATTGCATTTTTTGTTATTATTTACATTATTTTCAATAAACATTTGTGTGAGCTTTCCGTTCATACCCGGCACCTGCGTGTGGTAAACTTCGGATTTCTGTTGACGCCTAAGCATGTAACATTACATGTAAAAACAAAGTTTTTTGCTGTCTTGTAAAACAATTACACTAAGCATTAAATTGAAAAAATGTCTGACTTTAGTTAGAATAGATCCAAGGATGCTAAAATACTAATGCTTAACTGCTATTAATTCAAAGAGTCGTCTGCACTTTCCCTGAATTCCATAAGTTTACTTGTCTACAAAATTTATATTATCGTCATATGATTTACAATCAGGAAACGGCCAGGTTGACTTCCCAGAATTCCTAACGCTTATGGCAAAGAAAATGAAAGATGGTGACGCTGAGGAGGAAATAAAAGAGGCCTTCCGATTATTCGACAAAGAAGGCAATGGCTTTATTAGTGGGGCAGAGCTTCGACACATCATGACAGCAATTGGTGAAAAATTGACAGATCTGGAAGTTGACGATATGTTACACGAGGCAGACCTCGATGGAGACGGAATGATAAATTATCAAGGTAAAACGAAATGATTTCAGTGAAACGTTTATTTAGTTGCATTTCTACATTAAAAAAAGTAACTAATCAAAAGTAAAACAAAAATAGAGATCGTAAAATATGTCTGTTGCGTTAATTGCTGAAGACCTAACCAAAAACTGTAAAGATAAAAGGATGATACAATCAATTGATCTGGTTATTTCTAATTAGGTATGAGATATTCTTGTCTCATATGAACCGACCATATGTCCCTCTTTTCTTGTTTAGAATAATAGGTTTCCGTACCAACGATAGTTTATAACGAAAGTCGGTTAAACAAATCTAAGGTAAACAATAGACTGGAAAAAAAATCAGTCGCAGATACAATTAAAAGACTCTGAGAATGTCGAGATAGAACAAAGGGTCTGTAAATAAAGTAGATATTTGGTGTAATTTATAATAAAATATATCCACCATAGACTAAAGGAAAAGAATGTACATAGCTATAGATGACAATTTTATTAAAACTCATACACAATGCTAAGAACCGAAACTGGCAGACAGGGTTCGAATTTGGGCAGTGAGTTACTTGCTGTCCTAGAGTTATGTCTCTTTATAACTTGGAAAATTGCAAGTTTTTTCGTTTCCTCGGTCTTAATTAAGTTTGCTTCATGCAAATTTTATGAAACTCATACACAATGCTTAAATTCAAAACTGTCAGACAGAGATCGAATTTGGGCAGTGAGTCACTTACCGTTCTAGAATTATGCCCTTTTATAACTTGCCAAATATTGCAATTTTTTTCGTTCCGCACTCTAACGCAAGTTTGCTTCATGCAAATTTTATGAAACTCATACACAATCATAAGAACAAAACCAGCAAGCTTGAGTGGGAGCATTCGTGTCCTCAGACACATTCTTCTTTTATTTATTATGGTTATTCAAATTTTTTCCACTTTTCTATTTTGCAAAACTTGAGATAAACACCACAGATAAATTATCCTTCATAATGGAATAAATCATAACCTATACATTGCATTAGCATCAAATTTGTCGTTTGTGTAACATCACTGTTTATCAAATCTAATGCTTGCTACATTATACACAAGCTATGTCGGGGCACCTTTGTACAGTTTAATAAAATAACATTTATTTTTTTATTTCAGAGTTTGTTGCCCTGATGTTGAAATAGTAAATTCAGAAGACAAAGCGTACACTCTTTTACATTACAACATACTTTTTGTCATTTACTTATCCAATGTATTTGTTTTAAATGTCCATATCACATTTAAATGTGGATTATCATCAATGTATATAATAAATTAAAACCAAGCTCCTGTTATGCTTATAAAAGTTGAAAAGGCAGGCATTAGATTTAATTTCCGCGGTACTACAGATGCATGGTGGCTCATCACGTTTTGTTTTGTATAACTACAGTATTTCGATTTAGAAATAAGGCAACCGTAAGAATTTTATCTAAAGTTTGGTCAATGAGTGAAGATATTTCACTTGAATATACATATGTTGAGCCAATCTTATTGAATTGTTGGGTCATGGGCTTTCATTGTGTAAACGAGAACATGAACGCTTGTATGATTCTAAGTCCAAGTGAATAAATGAACAATTTAACATGAAATTTAAACTACTTCATGTAATTCGAAGCGGATTCAGTGCATTGCATCTAAGTGTTGTAATATTACAATTACATCTATTTGATTAGTACCAGAATCTGCATTTGCATGTGTGTGTGTATGTGTTTATATATATGTGTCGCTACTCTAGATTTGACCTCTCAACGAAAAGGTCATCACGCGGTATCAACTGTTGTCCAGTTATCACGTTTCGATCACACTGCACATGCATACATGTAGGTCATATTTAACATCACTTCCAACTGGTAACGAAATATATTACTGTAAGGTTTCTGCGTGTTTTCAAAGGCTTTAAATGGATTGTTCAATGCAGACACAGCTAGGGATGTTATTAGATGACTTGACAGCTTATTTAACAGTGGTATAGTGTAAACCAGCATAATGTATTATATCATGCCAGTACCACAGCTAAACAGTCGAAATTAATATTATGCTTTATCTACACAACGTAGAGCTGTATATCACTTGTAATCAAACATTCTTAATCCGGATACATTATAAGGGTAATACAACCAGGAAGATCAAAAGCAATTTCTGTGAATGACAGTCTTTTGTAATACACATTGGTCTTGTCGAAGGCTAATTATAATCTTTCGTCTAAGAAATCGACTGTACATATAATTAACCCTCAGTACCTATTTTAAGTAAATTGCTGTCAATATGTTATGCAAATAAATGTAAATGTAATATCAACTCTAATCCTGTAAGTTTCGAGTAATACATTTCTTCCGTAGCCTATATCTCCGAGTTGTTAAGGTTTGGACAAATGAATGTATACTGGTATTTTATTTCATTTGTAATGAAAATAACACATTATTAATCAGACTGACTTGTTAATTACAAATGTAATATATGAGCTGCGTCGGATAGAAATCGACTTTATGCAAATGAATATCAATACATCTGTTAACCTTTTTCAGGTTGAAAAAATCTCTACGGAAAGTCTGTAACTGTTTGAAAATTGATTTGTTATAAGAACCCTACAAAACAGACCAAAATTCATCTTTTATTTCGTATTTGAATGTTCCAAAATAAAAAAAAGTCTTATACATGAACATATATATGTGTACTTGCACAAGGTCGATTTCTATCCGACTCAGCTCATATGATGTGGGTCTACCTATAAGAGTTGGTCACAGAAATACAGAAAATTAAAGAGTTGTTCCAAGAGTTCTTTAACGTGCAAAGGAGTAACCCTCTCACTAATAAAGGCATAGGATTCACGTCTCTATTCCAACCAGACGTAGAGCTCTGCGCATTTATTAAACATTCTGCACAGCAGACGGATCCCTACTCAGCATGGGTCTGACCTAGTCCAGTTGGATCCAGGTCAAACTTTTAGGTTTTGATGTTTGGTTTGAGTTTAACATAAATGAAAACAGACACAATCTTCACAAAAAACAAAAAACCGGGAGGGGGGATATCGGGTGTTATGTTACGTAGCGTTTGCATGTTTTATTGATCTCTGCACGGCGATTTCAAGTTGTCGTAACCGGTGACGATACAAAGCTCCGTGGTATTACACTTGTCAATCATTGATGATTGGGGTTCTGACCTTGAGACGTCTTTCAGATATTTTATATTGGTGTCTCATTACTTGTAATTTAAATCTTCTCTTATATATAAATATGAACTATAGATAGACTGACTCTAATTTGTATTGTTCTTCATACATATAGACCCACATGCATGCAGCAGATTGAAATCATTGTAATCAAAGCTCTACACCAATCACTATGTAACTTAAAAAACATGTGTTAATTAAAAAGCTTTCGTGACATGCACATTTAAGATAACACAACACTAGAGAAACATCCTCTTATGAGGATCGGATCTGTTTTATTGGTTAGCACCTCTACCTTTCCTTGTTTGTTGATAGAATTTTACTGCTTACAAGGAAGTTATTGTAACAAGGGTTCCGTCAAACGTTTTATGGACGCCATCATGATTTGGTTCAACGTTTTGTAACACTTTGTCCCAGATGATCATAGATTTGTTACTCTTGTCATATCCACAATGTTATATCTACTTTACATCGAATTTGTACCACGTGATTTGTACGTATCATTAATAACGGGTGTCAGTAATTGAGTATGAACTGATAACCCATTCGGAGTATCTGAGTTAACCACGGTTTTTAGTGGGTACGTGTTGCTCAATCTTTGGTTTTCTGTGTATTGTTTTGAGGACTATTGTTTGTCTTTTCGATGTTGTTTTTCTTAGTCATGGTATTGTCTCACTCTGGTTTTTTATTGTCCTTTTTAATATTTTCCCTTTCTATAAAAAAGAGGTAATATTGATATAGACCAACGCTGTAATCAATCTTTTGTTTTATTTCTTGCATGCTCTGTTTAATCGTGAGTCCGAAAATTAAATGAAACCAAACAAGCATTATATATTTGTACGAAAATCGTTATAAAAATTCTACTTGTATTGTGGACTTGTTTGTCTTTTAGTGGTTTTTCGTGTTATTTTTCTACGGCTTTGTCAATTTCTCATCAACTTATGAGTTTTAAATGTCTCCTTAGTTTCTACCGCCCCTTTTTTGTGACGTCGATGAGGAAACTACCATTTGTTTCATTAATGAAATTCTATAATTTTAAGGTAAAATGTTAGTTGAAGGTTAGCCAAAACAAGTCTCATTTCATCATATCCCTACTTTTTCATCTAGGATAGCCATCTGCTGGTGGCAACGATTTGTAATTTGTTGTTTACCCAACCATGTGTAGTCTATTTTATCTATAGCTGTTGCTTGATCAAATGGTCAGGATAAGTTATTTTTGAATGTTGGTACCGTATGCTGATTATAACTAGTTCGGGACAAAATTTTCCCGTTTATTTGTTGTAGTTTAACTTCCATAAAGAGGATGACCAATTGATGTCAAAAACTTACATTGGCTTTTTTCGATGTGTTTTGGGGGATTTGATATATTAATAGATTGTTTTAATCTTTTAACCTTTGAACTTTTTTCTAATCTTATTTTTTCTCCATTCATAAACTAAGTAGATTAAGAACTAATTAAAACATCAACCATGCATCGTACAACGTTATATTCAACTGTAAATCTCAATATATATAATTTGATATTTTCTATACTCAATTTTAAAACATTTTCCACTATTTCATTTGTATGTTCATGTTTGCTTTTATACTTAAGATTTCTAAAACGGGTAAATATTTTACGGGATGTAAATATAAACAAACATTTCAAAATAATCTATTTGAGAGTTTAAATATTGACATGAAAACTTTCCTTTTTTATGAAATCCTCGTATAATTATACCAAGAGAGTATCTAAAAATACATTGTATGCACCTGATTTTAGAGAATACTTCAATTAATGTTTGCAAGTGATTCATTTTCACGACTTTGTCGAGGAAAAAAATAACGCGAATCTGTCTTAATTTGACAATCCAGATATTAAAACGTGAAAAAAAACGTTAGCAAAATTGCGAAAAATGAATTTCCGAAGTCTTCTAGAAAGAGCAAAACGATTGCTGTGTTTGTCATTGTGTCAAATAAAACACTTGGTTTTAAGCAACATTTGAAAAATATTCCGATTCAATCATGAATGTTGATGTTCAACGTCTTATTATTACTGTATTATATTATTATTTTCATCAGTATATTTATTTGTTTTTCAATAATTAGATTTATGTACTTTTTTGTTTGTTGTTTCATGTTTCTATGGAACGTTTTCCATTGTGCATGTTAATTGTTTTAATAGCATAAACAATTCTTGGTAGCGATAACAATTTAATCTTTTCTATACACGTATTCCATCAACAGTTATATGATATGACTCAAGTTTCTTAACAAACGACCGAACTAATATCTGCAAGCAGCAACTTTTATCAGTACATGTAGATGGCACATATTTTGGTTTATACCAGTATGTTCGACTTCCCAGAATTCAAACCTATATGAATAAAAGCTAAAATAAATAGTTTCTAATCAATTCTGAAACATATTTGAATTACACAACACTAATTTCAAAATAGATTAGTATCTTATTATATTTTAATCAGTTTATACTGGGAACAATTATTTTCTGATCTTTTTTTTCGCAGATTGCTTTATGCAGATATAGATTAATTGTTTTTGACCAATGAAGATTCATATGAAATACCTGAGATTTTATTGATATAACTTTAAATTATTTATTTAAATATCCAATGTTACAATACGTTTTTAAGTGTAACGGTAAATTTTAGATATATTTCATGTAAATAGACTCTGTTAAGGATTTCTCTCATTGAAAATGGTAAGTTTGCATAAATTGAATGTCATTTTAAATTTGACTAATTCCTAGGTATCGCCAATGAAGTTATTTAGAGAGTATAAAATCTGAATCATTTTACACTTTTTGTTTTTAGTTTAAATTATGAATTAAAACAACCATGTTTTTATAAAGATCTACTCTTATAAATCATATACTGTAATGTAACACTTCTTGAATTTCACAGCCCTTCTGAAACAATAGAGTCTACTGCATTAATATGCTCTTTTCAAGGGTTCAATCTGCAACCAGAGGGAAATCAGTTTTAATGAAACAGTTCTTGTACATACCGGAACAATATGATAATATAAGTCAATACAACAATTTTTAAATGTTTTGCATTGCTATGATGGTCAGGATGTTTGCATTGCTATGATGGTCAGGATGCTTTGCATTGCTATGATGGTCAGGATGTTTTGCATTGCTATGATGGTCAGGATGTTTTGCATTGCTATGATGGTCAGAATGTTTTGCATTGCTATGATGGTCAGAATGTTTGCATTTCTATGATGGTCAGGATGTCTTGCATTGCTATGATGGTCAGGATGTTTTGCATTGCTATGATGGTCAGGATGTTTTGCATTGCTATGATGGTCAGAATGTTTTGCATTGCTATGATGGTCAGAATGTTTGCATTTCTATGATGGTCAGGATGTCGTGCATTGCTATGATGGTCAGGATGTTTTGCATTGCTATTATGGTCAGGATGTTTTGCATTGCTATGATGGTCAGAATGTTTTGCATTGCTATGATGGTCAGAATGTTTGCATTTCTATGATGGTCAGGATGTCTTGCATTGCTATGATGGTCAGGATGTTTTGCATTGCTATGATGGTCAGGATGTTTGCATTGCTATAATGGTCAGGATGTTTTGCATTGCTATGATGGTCAGGATGTTTTGCATTGCTATGATGGTCAGGATGTTTTGCATTGCTATGATGGTCAGGATGTTTTGCATTGCTATGATGGTCAGGATGTTTTGCATTGCTATGATGGTCAGGATGTCTTGCATTGCTATGATGGTCAGGATGTTTTGCATTGCTATTATGGTCAGGATGCTCAGAATATAAAGATGAGGAGGTATGATAGCTAATGAGACGACAATCCACTAGAGACTTGAGGAATAGGACGTAAACAACTATAGGGCACAGTACGGCCTTCAACAATGATCAAACCTAATACCGTGCAATAAGCTACAAAAGCCCCGGCATGGCAAAAACAAAACAATTAAAAAAAAAATTTTACAGCTTACATACTAAATGTACCCTTTTCACACTCTGTTTACTGGGGTGAATCTCCAACAAATATTAAGGCATACAAACTTGATGTACGTTTACACACTCTGTTCACTGGGGACTGAATCTTCAACAAATATTACAGCATACAAACTCAATGAACGTTTACACACTCTGTTCACTGGGGACCGAATCTTCAACAAATATTACAGCATACAAACTCAATGAACGTTTTCACACTCTATTCACTGGGGATGAATCTTCAACAAATATTACAGCATACAAACTCAATGAACGTTTTCACATTCTGTTCACTAGGGACTGAATCTTCAACAAATATTACAGCATACAAACTCAATGAACGTTTTCACATTCTGTTCACTGGGGGATGAATCTTCAACAAATATTACAGCATACAAACTTAATGAACGTTTTCACTTTCTGTTCACTGGGGGCTGAATCTTCAACAAATATTACAGCATACAAACTCAATGAACGTTTTCACATTCTGTTCACTGGGGGATGAATCTTCAACAAATATTACAGCATACAAACTCAATGAACGTTTTCACATTCTGTTCACTGGGGACTGAATCTTCAACAAATATTACAGCATTCAAAATCAATGAACGTTTTCACATTCTGCTTACTGGGGGCTGAATCTTCAACAAATATTACAGCATACAAACTCAATGAACGTTTTCACATTCTGTTCACTGGGGGGTGAATCTTCAACAAATATTACAGCATACAAACTCAATGAACGTTTTCATATTCTGTTCACTGGGGGCTGAATCTTCAACAAACATTACAGTATACAAACTCAATGAACGTTTTCACATTCTGTTCACAAGGGGATGAATCTTCAACAAATATTACAGCATACAAACTCAATGAACGTTTTCACATTCTATTCACTGGCGGATGATTTTCCAACAAATATTACAGCATACAAACTCAATGAACGTTTTCACATTCTGTTCACTGGGGGCTGATTTTCCAACAAATATTACAGCATACAAACTTAATATACGCTTTCACACTCTGGTCACTGGGGGCTGATACTCTACCAAATATTACAGTTTACAAGCTTAATGCATGATTTCACACTCTGTTCACTGGGGGGGCTGATTCTCCATCAGTATTACAGTATACAATCTTAATATACCTTTTCATACTTTTTTCACTGGGGGCTGATTCTCGGCAAAAAAAACCTTCTTATTTAGGGTTTAGAGTACAGACAGGTGTCACTAAAAAAAGATGCATTTTAAATTTATTTATCTAGTTCAAAATTTATATACACGAAACTTCAATTTTTCTCAGTTGCCTTTACAACATAACTTTAAAAAAAAAAATCAGTTAATTGAACACATAAAAATAAATATGAATATGAACAATTTTTGTTGACATTCTGCATTAAAGATGGTTAAAAATTCGATCAACCATACCAGGCTTAGGCTTGTAATTGTGTACGTCAGCCGCGCGTTTCGTCTACATAAGACTCTTCAGTGGCGCTCGAATCAAAATAGTAATACATGTACCAAATTCAATTGAAAGTCGATAGCGAAAGATAAATTTTAAACGTACATATGATTAAAAATAAGAATGGTTTACAAAAGAAGTTATAAATAAAGTATAGAAGATATTGTATATATCATTTACTCAATATGTTTTTGTCGGTAAAATAATGGTTGCGATTATTGAATAGATAATCTAGAATTTGTGGGTTTAATTACAAATGTCAAACATCATTAAAATTGGACGATTGTTTATTAACACGTGACCTATATCTAAGGTAGTCTTTTATTATACTGTGAACCTTTTATTATGTTAAATCCCTATGATTAATTAGAAACTTCAAAAGAATATCTAGACAAAAGTAAAGAAAAGAAAATAGTTTGACTAATTAAAGGGAACGTGTATTATTGTTCTGTTCTACATTGTTATATTGTACCTTTTTACTCTGAGATAAAGATTTGTAAGACTGTTATCTTTTGAAATAAATTGTTTTTAATTTAAACATTTCTTTTAAAAAAAAAGCAGATTATTCTTTAATATTATTTATATCATTCATTGTAAACCCGTACACATATGTATATAGATATGATATGTAATGAACTACTTTAGTTTGTATATATTACGTGAGGAATCTCAGGAAAATAAGTTATGAAGTATGAGTTCAACCTCTTATGGACAATTTGTAAAAAAAACGTATATGGTGCGTTTGACACGTGTGTCTGAAAGTACCGTCAATCTTTAAACGTTTTCATGTATGTATTTTCTTTAGAATGAGTCAGAACAACCGAAACCGTCTAACGTCACTGTTGCTTCGGAAATTCGCAACACTTATTTTTTTATACAATTACATATTTTATGAACTGGAATTTAGAAAATGTATTATTCAAGCTATATAAAAGAGAGGCGAAAGATACCAAAGGGACATTCAAACTCATAAGTCGAAAATAAACTGACAACGCCATTGCTAAAAAAGAAAAAAACCAACAGACAAACAATAGTACACAAAACACAACATAGAAAACCAAAGACTGGGCAACACGAACCCCACCAACAACTGGGGGTGATCTCAGGTGCTCCGGAAGGGTAAGCAGATCCTGCTCCACATGTGGCACCCGCCGTGTTGCTCATGTTAGTACAAACCCGGTAATAAGTCTAATTCGGTAGGTCACATTCGGGGAAAAGGGGAAGAGATTGTAGTTACGACAATTGGAACATATCCGCTATCATCTGTGAAACGGATATTCCATAACGGTCAACCAACTTGTGATGGCGTCCGTAAAATTTACGAAGGGATGATTTCAACTTCACCACTTGGAACTCTTGGTTTAATAGCTTCCTTGTGAGCAGCAACCCTCTATCAAGGAAATCATTATAGGAAATATAAACCCTGGAATATCGTATCAACTGGGAGATATATACTCCGTATGCAGGTGCTGCTGGAATGTTGCTACATAGAAATGGAAAGTTCACAATTGGGAGTCTGAAATCATCTCTTTTGTCGTAAAGTTTTGTTTTCAACCGACCCTCATTGTCAATTTCTAGATGTAAGTCAAGATATCTATATCAGTAGTGAAGTTAGCGATTATCAGATCTATATTTTTTAATGATTGGTGTCACTAGTAGAGGAAGAGGTATGGACCTTTCTGGGGCATCTGATCATGAGTTGATTAACACTTCGTGTTGCTCAATCTTCAATGTTTAGACTAGTGCTTTGTGAACTGTTCTCAGTGTGTTCGTCTTTTTCCTTGAGCAATGACACGGTCTGTTTTTCTTTTATTTTTGTGTTTTGATTGTCCTAGTAATGATTTACGTGCGCACAATACATGTTTCTGAAATTACCGTCCTTCCATTCGCTAGACGGACAAGATGTTTGGAGGCCAAAACAATAAAACGTATATTATATCATGCCTTTGAGATAAATGTATCAATGAATACATTTCTTATAAATTTATGATAACATCATTTTGCATATGAGACCTGATATTTATATCAGAAACCTCTGGATGATACTGAAAAGAAAATAATTATGTGTAAAAATTTATAAAATTTATTTTGTTATAATTGATACATACCATTTAAAAATTCGACAAACAATAAAATAAGTGGGACAATAAAGCGTGTGTCAGAGGGTTATTGGGGTCAAATTAATGCTTTATATTGTGTATTGAGAAGTAAAAAAAATGATCGATATTTAAATGTAATTTGTTGGCGTTTATTCTCGTGTCTGCAGAATTCATTACAAGTTTGTCTAGACTCAGGGGCAAATTGTTTTGAGCTTTTGTTAATTATCAAAATCCAATGTTTATTTTTGGTCCTCTTGTGGTGATTGTTCCTTATAACTGTTTACTTTTTACATCTCCATTACTTATATGTTAAAAACACAATAAAGGTACTTTGTTTTACAGGCAACTGAACTAGCAGAAGATCAGGTCGCAGGTAGGCGTAGTAATTTTTACTTCTTATTCTACCTGCAGAGCATTAAAAAAAGTTCGAGAATATTATCGTGGTCTTGTATCGTGAAATTCCTCATTTTAGTTTAGTTTTTTTTTAATTTTATTTATAAAGCTATCAAATTATGAATTTGAGAAGATACATTGTGACACAAACTCGTCTTTAAGAGTTTTGAAATTTCTCCAACCAAAAAAAAGAGAAGAATTGAAATAGACATCCATTGGTTGCATGTCTTTTTTAATAGTTGCTTTTTGCTTTGAACTAGCTTTCAGTAACTGCGAGTACTTTTAGGTCGGTACCTTAGTGTTTTTGTTTGTTGTTTTTGTGCTTTGTATCGATCTGATGATTCAAGCGTTTCAACTGATTTTTATAATTTGTTCTTATGTTGTACTGTTACACCACTGTCCCAGGTTAGAGGAGGATTGAGCGCCTACAAACATGTTTAACCCCGCCACTTTATTTATGTGCCTGTTCAAAGTCAGGAGCCTGTAATTTAGTGGTTGTCGTTTTTTCATTTGTTCATAAATCAGGCTGTTGGTTTTCTCATTGGAATTGATTTACATTTTGTCACGTCGAGTCCTTTTATAGCTTGTTATGCGGTATGGGTTTTGCTCATTGTTGAGAGACTTACGGTGACCTATAGTTGCTAAAATCTACGTCATTTGGACTGTAGTGGAGTTGTCTCATTGGCAACACTGAAACTAAGCAGATGGAAGTGAGAAGGGGAATGGGGTGTTTGAGTAGGGTGACATTTGGAACCTCTAAACCATACCATCACGCATCAATTTTTTACAGTACACCTTGAAATAATGAATCCAAATAAAACAGGAAGCAAAACAAGAAAAATCAATAAGTTATATAACAATCATTTTTCCCAAAATCATTTATTTGGTAAGAACTTTTGTGTTTTCACTCCCCTGAATTTAAAAAGCTTTGCTACATTTGACGTTAATAAGAACATTGTTTATACGGGCCAGGCCAAGTAAGGTTTAACTTTTTTAAGTTGAACGTCATGTCTCAAAAGTACAAGAATACATCGCCGGGATTCTAATTTTAAATTAAACATTCCCCATGTTTAACAGGATTTTGTACTAAATGCTTTTTCGCTGTGTAATATTGTATATTTAACACTGCTTTGTTTTATATGTATGCATAGAAATGAAGGTACATATTTATTTGTTTTAATAGGTAAACAACACCCAAAATCAGATAATATTTTGTTACGTCGTTATATTGAAGATAGATAATAGTACTATGGTATAAGGGAGCAACCATTTAACTTCAAGGGGGGGGGGGGAATATTTTTTTGTCATCTGCTTGACCACAATATTTTTTTTCATCAAATTGGGGATCAGAATATTTTTTTAGGAAAAAGCCATAACCCCACCCCTCCCTGAAGTTAAATGGTGACAGGTCGTTCCCTAAATAAAACTTATTGACAATGTTGTAGAGTTCAAAGAAGCGTTTAACTTGTTTGACAAGGATGGAGATGGAACAATATCATGTACTGAGTTAGGAACTGTAATGAGATCGTTGGGTTGTAACCCTACAGAAGAGGAACTTAGAGATATGATAAAAGAAGTTGATGCTGATGGTAAGTTGTAACGAGTTTTGCCTAAATTTTTCATATCATTCTAGCGAACCTCCTTTAATAAGTTGAGAAAGAAGATGAAATCAGAATTTAAAAATGAATACAAACTGTGGATATCGTGAATAATATACATGAACATGTTATAGGCATATATTGTCGATTTTTTATTCACGGTTTGACAATGATACTTATCTGATCTAAAATCTCGAAACAGAAAATCAAGTTTGTTAAGACTACATGTAACAGTCAATTACATGTAAATGACAAACGTTTTCTTGAGATAACAAACTATTAGACTTTTCCTTTATACATGCATCTATTTCTGTACAATTCAGTCACAAAGTTTGTATTGATGTCTATGTGGACTGCAAGCGTAGCGCTAAGATAGTATAAACAACTAAATTTATCATCACCCTATAGGTTTTATAACGGCTTCTCGTTATAGTCTGTTATTAATTGATATTACCCAGACTTCACATGTGTAGCTTTATCGACATTTAGCAGCAAAACATACCTCGGGGACGCCATGAACTTTCATCCTTAGTGTGTTTATCAACCACGTGCAGGGAATTTGTGTCATGAATTATTATACCCTACCTTTTTTCCTATTCAATAAATAAGCTCATCATACCGGCCTTAACATTTTGTACGCCAGTCGACGTGCGTTTCAGAACAGTTTACAACTTAGTTGAGGTTATATATAAAGATTGCAAGTTCAATCAATTAGAAATAAGCTACTTTGAGTCTCAGTCCTTAATCCGTGTAAAATAATGCAAAGAAAATACATGAAGTTAAAAATATTGCATTTTGATCAATTTTATACTAAAACATATTCGATTGCTTCCTTTAAGCTTTCTTCTTGGAAAAGTGTTGAAAATGATTTTTATCTTTCTTGTAAACCTTCAACATTTTAACCTGAAATTAACTTCAAATTAAAAGAGGAAAAAGTATCAAGGGAGAAATGAAAAACCACAAGTCAAATAGAAACAGGCGACACAAATGCAAAAAATGCAAACGACGATAACAACAGTCCAAAAAGCACCTTAAGGTTGAGGTTGAGTAACAAGAACCCAATAAAAAATCAGGGTTGATCTCAGGTGCTCCAGAAGTGCCAGTAGTTCCTTCTCCACATATCACACCCACCGTGGTACTCTTGTTGAAATACCTTGATGAGCCATACTCAGTGAATATGTTTAAGCTCTTCTCTAACAAATTAAACAACCCCATCGGTGCATGTAAATTCTCTAACCCTCAAGTTTACCGTATGTGAAAGTAAGAAATGAAGGGTTTTACAAGGACAATTCATTTATTAATTCATGAATTATTATTTGCATAGGAAGTGGTTGTATTGACTTTCCCGAATTTTTGGAAATGATGGCTAAACGTTTACAAGACGTAGATGAAGAAGCGGAACTGCGGGAAGCTTTTAAAGTTTTTGATAAAGATGGCAGTGGAAGCATAAGTAAGGCAGAATTAAAACTTGTAATGGAAAATCTTGGAGAAAAGTTAACTGGGGAGGAAATTGACGAAATGATGGATGAAGCAGATAAGGATGGCAATGGAGAGATCGATTATGAAGGTAATTAGATTTATGCCTTTACCTAAATGGAAAAAAAATCGTAGTCCGAAATTAAATTATACAAGATTTGTAGAAGTTTAATAAAATGCGATTATTATGGTTTTGTTAAATTATAAACTGAAAACTCAAGAAAACATAAATATCTTGCTGACCTTTACTGTTGTTTGTTTTATTATTTTTTTTTTTTTTTTGCCATAGCGTTGTCAGTTTTTCTTCGATTTACGAATATCCCTTTGGTATCTTTCGTCTTTTATACCTTTTCCTCTTTTCTTTGTCGAATGTTAATCTTGCTTGCATAATTATGTACGTGTGATTGTCACACTTATATGCTTAATGTCGAAAAAAATTTTTATTATTAAGCAAGATAATAATACTATTGTCGTAGATTGATTTTCAACTAAAGAAAACAAAATCAAAACAATTTTTGGAACAAATCAAACAAAAACAAAAAACGAAACAAAACAAACAAAACTATAGATGTATAATAACAAAAACACAAAACAAAACAAAAAAAAAAGGCCTAAACAGATCAAGCAAATCAGACTCGGGTATATATTTAATCTGTTGGTTTTTTTTTTATATAATCTGTTTAGGCGTCACTGTATGCAAAAAATATAAAGTAAGCTTATTGGTACAATATTCCTTCTTTATTTTTCAGAATTTGTTGAAATGATGATGGCAAAATAAGGACTTTATTACCTTTCAATGTGATCTGCAATAATCAAACGACATTGTTAACGTTAAACATGATTGTACATATTTAAATAGTCGTTAATTAAAATACGACTTTAATATTTTCATCCATCGTTTTAATTATGTTTGTTAAATACTTGTGCTACTATACAACCAGAATTAGTTCGAACAGAGTTCATTTTGAATTGAATGGTTTTTGTAAATAAAATGACAGTGAAGTAGTACCTATATATGTATTTAATATTAATGTAACAAATAATGCCACTCTTCAGATGAACCAATTTGATTGCTCATTATACCATTCGATGACACCATTCATATTTACAAATATGAAAGAAGCTTTAAGTTTACAAATAAACATTATTTGTTTGGCATGTATCTAGAGGTAACTTCTTGGCATGTATGGGCAATTATTAACAATTGCAACAAAGAAACATCCATGAATGTCTAAAGGAAAACACATACTTGACTTCAAATCTTAATATGATTCACTGTAATACATTTCATTGGTTTTGTCTTTAACGGTAGATGACTATATAGTGAGTCCTCTCAGAGCGTTTAAACATTTAATTTATGTCATTTTGGTAACGGGTTATTTTATTCATCGTATAGAAAATGGAAACGGAAAATGTGTCAAAGAGCAGAAAACAGCACAAGACCACCAATGGGTCTTCAACACAGGCCCCTAAACAATAATGTATACTCTATCAGCGAAATGGACTCCACACTTAAGGGCATACAATACAGTTATAGGGGAGGTACATTTTGTAATGACGTTGCTAACGTAAATTATTATACTTCACGTAAAAATGCCATATTTTGATTGGCTCATACGAGGGTGTTAATTTACTCTATCACATGGCTGAGCGGGTGACAATTTTTTTGAATGTCACCCTCTCGTCCAGACCAATCAAAAATTGACAATTTAAAGGACAATGAATTGAAATTACATCAATTTATTAAAGAATGCTTAAGTTCTACGTTTTGGCTCAGATTCTATTATTTGACTGTCAAAATAAAAAAATTAAACATCTTGCTTCACTTCTAATCCCCGTAACGTTGTTATGTATGTGACGTCATAGAAAATACTTATGAATAAAATTCATCTGTAAAAGACAATAATGATAGGACATTCAGTATAATAAATTAAATAACACATAGCTGAGAGGGTGATAGAGCAGATTGTTACCCCTCGAAAAGACATTGTCAACCTTGGCTTCGCCGCGGTTGACAATGTTTTCTCGGGTACCAATCTGCTCTATTACCCTCTCAGCTATGTGTTATTTATATAATGTTATTTTTCGCGTCTTCAAACTGACAGATGCCCTTTTCTTGTGATTTTAATCATTAGCTTGAAAACGAGTACATGGACACCTCTTTTTTAAAATGGCGTTTGGCTTTATTATGTATGAAGATTATTTGTTCCAATTTTTATGAAGGAATCACCGATGATTTTTTTTTTTGATTAGAAAAATGCCGGTATTTTATAAAATTATGACATTATGAATTATTTCCATAGAATTTTAATACAAATTTAAAGCATACTTTTGTAAAGAAGATATTCCAAATATTTTACAAAAATCCGCATGTGTTTATCTTATGAAACAAAAAAGGTTCAGTATGTCTGTCCAAAGGAAAGAAATGTCCAGGAAACCGAAATTTTGAGTAAATGTCTAAAATTAGACCCCATTTATCTCGAAATGTAGCACATGACGGTATATATGTTATTACATATTTGAATTGACTAGGTGAAAAATAGCTTGTATGTAAAGTTTTGTTAAAAAATCACCGTGGGATCGAAACTGTATCGTACGCACTTAATTCTAAAACATACAAATGAACCAAAATGTAATAAAAACACACAAGACTTACAAAGGCTAAGGATTCCTGACTTGGAACAGGCGCAAAAATGTGGCGGGGTTAGATATGTTTTGTGAGATATCAACCCTCCCCCTATACCTCTAGACAATGTGGAATAAAAAAACACACAGCAATACGCATAATATATGATACATTGCATAATATATGGGAACGATATAAAATAAGGAGATGTGGTATGGTATGATCAACAATGAGACAACCATCCACTAGAGTTCAAATGAATCCAACACAAACTCATTAAAATTAATTGTTTTTGACACAAACCCATTTCTCCAATTTTGGGGTGGGTAAGAAATTGACTCTATATTTTGCTACAGAAAATCCCAAAACATAATCAATACCATGGAGAGAGAATATTTTAAAAATATTAAAACAATCAATATCTATGAAAATAAAATAATTTCTCGTACCAAATGCAATCACAACCGATCTTTTCACTTACAATAATCAATCAAACGTGAAAGTAGGAAGTAAATGTATGTTTAAATTATTAATGGGAAGCTATGTAAATACATTTAACTGGAATGTGGTTAAAATTGAGCCCTGTGTTCGAAGAAATGTCTACTATGGAAAATCCATGGAGATCTACCATGTTAGTATAGTGATTGCGAAACAGAAACTTAAAGGAATTGACAGAAGGGCACCACCAGAAGTGGAACTTGGCATGCGGCTTAATCAACAGTAACCTACTCCTCCGAGAATAAAAGTCATACAAGGACAGTAACAACGAACAATAAATTTTCAAGATAACCTGAATTTGTACATGTGTATAGTTACGAAATGTGGTTGGTTTAAACCCTCCGTTTTGCCTATACAAAAAAACTCCCTGATGACGTAACGTAAAATACACAATAAAATACCTGTCATGTCAAGTAACAGGATGTCATGTCAAGTAACAGGATGACATACATGTATAACTTGCATATCAATTCTGTTTTCGTTACTTATCGTTTGAAATACAATGAACTTGTATAAATTGTCACATTCTAGGCTAGCTCAGTTATATTAAAGTGAAAATTAATCTTAATGGCTTGGCTTGCTTCACCCTTCCAAACCATTCAAATATTTCTTTTTATACCAATCTTTTATTTCTTAGGCAAGAGCAAAACTTGGATTTTCAACAATTTGTACAAAAATAGGGGTGTGGCAGCAGCAAAATTGTATTGACAATTCTGCAAAGGGACTTTGAAAAGCTTTTACGAAATTGAGAGAAAAAAAATTCAATAGGGTGGGGCTGTAAAAGAAATCTTTAAAAGTAAAGTATAGCCCTGCTATGTTTCTTATATACCTTCCGTGTGTAGAGACTATATGACAACGCTTTTTTGACTATAATTGAAGTTATTAAAACATGTTTATAAAGATCCGTTGCACTGTCACGACGTTTTGTTTTAAAATCTTTAGAATATCAACCATCTTTTCTGCACGTATATATTTCTTTTTTTGGAACACCAAGTTATCTTTTAAAGCAATAAAATTATATACACTTTTTAAAGTATGAAAATATGGAGATGTGGTATGACTGCCAATAAGGTAACTATCCGCCAGAGTTCCAATGACGTGGATATAAGCACCTATTGATCTGATAAAACAGGTTCTCTGTCACAAAATACATAAATATTGAGAATAAATATGTTTTAAAGTAATTGATGCTACAAATTGGACGCTATTGTCATCTTAGTAACTCTTCATTTTTTACTAAGTCCGTCTTACAGTTTAGTCTTGGCACATATATCTTATGACATTAAGTAGATAGTTTTGTATTAATCGTCAGTTGTTCGTTAACCCAGATGCTTATGAACACCAAACAACATATTTGCAGTATTTGGCCACAGCCTTTAATATTATTATTCTCGAAATTTATACATACTGTATATACTGAGTATGTTGTTACCGCAGATTGCTGGCAACCGAACTGTCAGTGATATCTAATTAAACACAACACCATAAATGATGCGTTAACTGAAAAATGAAGTTATACCAGCAGATCGCTGATTATGGCAACCGTACTGTCACATATATATATATATAAATTACTACCACAGATAATGGTAACTGAAGATAGGATTAAAACAATTTGGAAATCACCGTGGAAACACAGGTGATGGATCGAAACCCTTACATTGTTCATCTGTAGTAAATGATCCTATTCATAAAACAAAATGTTTTTTGATGCAGCGAATTCTGCCAGATTAACAGTGAATCGGAACATAGGTTTCACTGTCAACCGCATGTTGAAAAAAGCCTCAAATCTAAAAATAATTGTCGCCAATTATAGAAAGTTAACAAAAATTAAACTTTGAAAGAGAAAAAAAAATTTTGATTTCAACCATGTGGCAGCCATGCATGTGCTATTGTAGTTCAGTCACGTACAAGTGTACATGTATCCTTGTTTTTTTAAATTAACATCACTTTTTTTCTTTTTTTTTTTTTGCACGACGCGTCACTTAATGTAAGTAAAACTATAATATATCCATTCAAAAGGAAAAACAATACTAAATATTGAAAATTGACAATTTCTTCTGAATTAAAATTTCTTCTGAATATATGCAGCCTCTCCTGTTGAATCCGAATTAAAAAAAAGGATCGTGACATCAGATTGTATGGTTCACCAACCACCAATGAAACTTTTCCCACTCTTAATAGAAGACTCAAACCATTTTGCTGACACAATTCCTATTTTCTACGTATCATTGACAGTCAAATAAATTTAAGCTATTTAAGTCTAACTTATTCTTCCAAATTATAGTCCTTATTAGATCTGATTGATTTATCTACAACTTATATCTCACCAACTTTTAAAAATTAGATTTATTAAAATATTGAAACAATACAAATATGTAATAAAGATTTACAGTCGATTCAGAAATAAAACAGAGAATTTGTTACACTCGTTTGAACTAAACTTGCAACATTCAAAGAATTCTCACGGGATTTCATGTTATTGTCTTACGTGATACATACAACGCGGAGGTATACTGCGGAGATACGGTGAATGTTTTTATAGATAATTATGTCTGTTCAGAGGCATTGCTTGCTGATTAATACGTGACGTTATCAAGACCATAAAAGACATGAATCATGTTATGATCTAAAATAAGACTCAA